TACCCATTCATAGTTCTGTACACACTCTCAGCCAGAACAGAGGCATAACGTGTGTAGAGCTATCAATGGCAAGTTTCCTTTGAAGGATTTTCTGTTACCTGTCTATCTGAGGAATGATGAAATAATCTGAACCCACCCCGGACAGATTCAGCAGAATTTTCACAGAAGCAATAGTATTTAGCTTTGAGAGGATTCCACCCTGGACAGATTCAGCAGAATTTTCATTTCTGCCAACAAAGTGTGACTAGGGGAGAGACAAAAACCAAAGAAGATAGTCTTGCAAGAAGTGATACAAGAAGCAGACAGATTTATGGAGGCCTGTTCTGGGTTCACAGGAGACTTACTTTTCATAGCATATTAACAGTTCATGGCATCCTGTAATTATTAACACGTATATTGACTCTGCAGCACTGATTTTATTAACCAGATGTACCTGTTCCTCTCCTGTCTCATATCAATTCTGCCTCTTTTATATTTTAAAAGAAAAAGCCCTACATGCATGTTCATCTTCCCCACTCTCAAAATTATTGTTGGTTTGATGCCGTATAGTAACAAGTTATGTAACTGGACTTACTATGTAAGAGCAAAGAGCCGCATGGCAATCTTAAAGACAGACATCAATTGTAAACTTCAGCTTTCATGGACTAGCGCCCATCTCAATAGATGAAGTATAGGCCAATCTACCAAAATGTGTGCCACAATATATAATTCCTATAGAAAGGTATAGATCCTCATGGAGGAGTGTCATGAGCTACTTCAAAATTGTTGGCACTGGTTGCTATCTCAGGTTACTCCTAGTCATCCATTTCTTCAAGCACTGAAGGAAGCAGCATTTTTCATTAGCTCTTGCTAATTAAAGCTTGGCTGAAATTCAGTAATTGGTGCAACAAGAGCAGATCCACTCAATCAGTGGAGATTTGGTGAGTCGTCAACTCTGTAAGAATCACAGAATAATTGAGTTGGAAGAGGGCTAAAGCCATCCGATCTAACCCCGTGCTCAATGGAGAAATCCAAATCAAAGCAGATCTGATGGCTGTCCAATTTTCTCTTGAATGCCTCCAGCTTTGGAGTTCTCACCACCTCCTGAGGTAATTGGCTCCATTGTTATACTGTTCTAACAGTTAAGATGTTTTTTTCCTGATATTCAGCTTGCTCTGTTTGTGATACAGTATACTACTAGAATTTCAGCCAGTAACCAGCCACCCTGCACTGTGCATCTTAGTTTAACAAAAATGCTTTTCATATAATATATTGAATATGTTTAACAGACTAGAGCTTCATCTCCTATTCATCACTCTGCATTTGGCATAATATTTGAAAGCATTTGCATGTACTGTAAGTACGGCTTATGCCTTTTCATATGGTGGATTTTTATGCTTGTAGGCTTTTACAGCAATTACATTGAAGAATTAATTCTAGGAGACAGAATCAATATACATTCAACATGGGGTGTTTAGGGGTTTTTTAAAAGACAAGAAAAACTGAGAGAATTTCAAGATGCAAAGGTGATACTAAGTTGCAGTTTTTCCTTCTCTGCACTGCTTCTGTGGATGTTGTTTATAGCTGTGCCAGCCGCAGTCAGGCAGTTCTCAGCTTCGGCCATTTGAACATCTTTTAGAATCCCCACCTTTTTTTTTTTATTAGTGTCTTCCACTGGGTCTGTGAGAAGAGGTGGGACTAGGGATCGGGATGGCACCATATAATCTGAATTTGCACCTTGCCTATCATTAGGATGATTTAGGCCACCAGAATTCTGTTGCAGAAGCAGTTCAGGACATGAACAGACAGAGAAATTGTTCTCTGCTGATTCACACACCTTGTAGTCTATAGTCACACAGATCGTGCCAGTTGTATGATTTACAGATCTTTCTTTTTTTAAAAGCTGCATTTCAACTGTCTACACAGTGGGTGATAACAGCAATACTGCTCTTCTAGGTCCCCATCTGTCTTTACCAAACTTTTTTTTGTATTTTGTGTTTCTATTGCATATAGCTCTTGATTCAACCACCCTTAAGAAAAGAAATAAAGAATTAGGGCTGGGTTGATTTAGCAAATTATGTTTTGAAAGCTATAAGTTGTCTCATTATAAAGTGAGCAATCATTTTATTTAAACCTACAGTTTTTAGAGACATTGATTTACCTATATAAAACGTTTTGACCTATACTGATACATTGCTCATTGACTTATCTCATTATAAAGCGAGCAATCATTTTATTTAAACCTACAGTTTTTAGAGACATTGATTTACCTATATAAAATGTTTTGCCCTATACTGATACATTGCTCATTGACTTGGGTCCTAAAAGATGCTGAATCAAGTGCTACAGACAAAGGAAACATGGAATGTGTGAACAATATATACTGTATAAGGATTTTAAAAATATATATTGTTCACACATTCCATGTTTCCTTTGTCTGTAGCACTTGATTCAGCATCTTTTAGGACCCAAGTCAATGAGCAATGTATCAGTATAGGGCAAAACAAGTTAGGAATGGAGCAAAAATGCGAAAAGCACTTAAAATTACAGATGAGGGAGATACAGTTTTCCCAAAATTTTTATTGCATATATATATTCATGCTTCCATCACATATAGATGGTGATTCGATGCCCCCTTTCTAAAAATTAACAATTAAAATAATACTAAAATAGTTTTTAGCACAAAATTACTTTAAATTGTCAACTGAGTTAGCAGTAGAATCACAGTACATTTTTTAAAAAAAGAAACAGTAAAGTTATTGTTATTTTAGCAGCAGTGCAAATCAGTGGGATGAAACTGGAAAAAGTGGTCCCTCTGATAGCAAAGTTCACAGTACAGTATATGTTTCGTGGAAGGAATTTAAACATTTTCATGTAAACCCTCTCCCCAAAAGGAGAGCAGGACCATTAAAAAAAAAAGACTGGGAGTTGAATAAAATGTAACAGATATTTGCACACAAGGATCAGATCTATTTGGGATTAGCAATAATATCATTTGATCACTGAAGAAAATACTGGAATGATCAACAATGAAGATGAAAGAAATGGTAGGACTAAGTGCCTGTCTGGTCATGCCCTCAACTGAAGAAGAGTGTCACCTTCCAGATCAGATTTACATCAGATTGTTATCTGTTTTGCAATGCCCATTTTGCATTTCAAACCTATGAGACCTGGCATACAGAAAGGATTGTGTTCGCCAGTTAATTGCTTTTTCTGCTACTGCAGTAACAAATACTTGTTAAGGCAGCTCACCAGTGAGCACAACAGTTCAGTAAATGATTTTTCAGAAAAAGTAAAAATGAATAGTTCCTTAAACAAAATCCAAATCTTGATTTATACAAGTATCTCTTTGCCAACTGAGTTCATCTAATGTATCTTCTGTAGTACATTACAAAAAGGTAGTAATGAAAGTTCAGCACTATAATCTAGCAGGTTGACAAATGCAAGTCTCTGTCAAAATCCATCTTCTTTTAAACTGTTCTCATTGTTTTAAAAATATATCAAAGCATCTCGCTGCCACCAAACCTCTTTTCAAATAAATGTGTTAAGTCTTGTTTTATAGTCAAGGTAACTTAAGACATGGTGTTAGCAGTTGTTTGTTTTGTATTTAAGCATCAGAGGAGAGCTGTTAGCTTTTCCTCATGACATCAAAGTCTGCCGGTTTTGCTCTAGGCGGCCTTTCCTCCAGAAAAGATGAGAATAGGCTGTGCCTCAGCACCACTTCAGAAAGGTTGGGCTTGTACAGGCCAGTCAATGCTGCAAAAATATTTCATTTTGTGATTTACTTTTGCTCTACTTATTGGCATCTTTTTCTTTGGAAAATTCTACCTCATTCCTTGGCACCTTCGAGTAACAAGCGCTCTCCTCTCTCTGCTCTCTCAATCTCTCTCCCATGGGCACAAACAGCCGTATTGCCAATGGGAGGGAATGGTGGGAGATGCTTTCCGACAGCATCCTCCAGGGGTGTGTATGGTGGAGGAGTTGTGTGTATTGGTCGTCCCTCAACAATGAAGCTATGCTCTCTTTAGCCGCTTAATTTCTTAGGACTTCGCAAGAGGTGCGCTGGAGGTGATCCTCGGAACTGAGCAGGGACTCCGAGGTCTTCAGCGGCATCCCTTCTTCAGCGTCACTTTAAAAGCCATGCAGTGAGCGGGGGGAGGGGGGCCTCAGGCGTGCTCAGGAGCCATGTCTTCCCTTGGGTCGGGCACCTGGGCTTCCGAAGCCCACAGATGAACTCCAGATCTATAGGGATTTGGCG